CTGCTGGCTGACCAGGTCTGCACCCGGATTCACAGTGGTCTGCTAAACGATGTAGGGCTTAGCTCGCCACTTCATTGATGTTCTTCAGTCACTTCCCCTTGTGGGTGATGTGCGTGTTCGCCAATCAGAGTGTGTATTTCCATTGCATTTTAGTCTTGAAAGAGGATTTGCACTGAGATGCTCTGTTCTTATAATTTTATTCTGTTCTTGACTCTTCCATTTGTTGATTGAGTTCAGGGTGATGCTGCCACTTACGTCATTCCCTGGTTGTTGTCTGTTCTTGTTGGTTCTCAATCCACAGTACTTCCTTTAGGATGTTTTTCATAGCAAGTTTGCTTTGGAAAAATCCCTTACTTTCTGTTTATCCTGGAATGTTTTGATTACACCGTATTTGATTGACAGCTTTGCTGGGTAGAGAATTCTTGGTTGGAAGTTTATGTCTTTCAGGGTTTATATATTCCTCCCCATTGCCTTCTTGTCTGCATGGTTTCTGTTGAGAGATCCGAGTGTAATCTGATTTGCTTATCTTTGTATGTTACACTTCTCTTTTCCCTAGCTGCTTTCAGGATTCTGCATTTGTCTTTGATTTTGGAGAGCTTGATTATTATATGTCTTGGTGATTGTCCTTTATGGTCTATCCTTCCTGGGGTTCCTTGAGCTTCTTATGTGCTTATCTTTTAATTTTTCAGGATGTTAGGGAAGTTTTCTTCCAGCAGTTCTTCAACTGTTTCCTCTGTGGACTGTGTGATTCTTCTGTTCTGGAATGCCAATAATTCATAAGTTATTCTTCTTCATGTTGTCCATCATAAATCTTATGCCTTCTTAAGATTTTTTTATCCTTTTTTGTGCTTGCTCTCTATCTTAGTAGTTTTGAGAGATTCATCTTCTAGCTCACTATTTCTGGCTTCTATCTCTTCAATTCTCCTCCTTTGCCCTTTCAGTGTATTGTCTATTTCAGATACTCTATTATTAATCGTTTGAACCTTTTTCTGTAGGTTTTGAATTATTTCCAGTGTTGTATCTATCTTATTTGATTGTTCCTGTAGTGTTTTCCTGACTTCTTCCTTATTTTTCTCAACTCCATTGTATAGTGTTTTGATACATATTATAGTAATTTTTCTGAATTCCTTCTCAGGCATTTCCAAAGCCTGCCCATCTTCCAGTACGGCGTGTAGGTCTACTTCCAGCTCATTTGCCTCAGTTACTTTATCTCATTACTGGACATGTACTTAGATGGTCATCTCTTTCTGGTTTCTGGGGATATATTCAGGAGTTATCTGTGGCCTTACTGCTTAAATGGGTATGTATTTTGGTATTTTTTATGCTTTTTGATTGCCTCCATGTAGGTACAATCAGTAGATGAGCTTCCCTTTTCACTCTTCTTCCTGAGAAATTTCAAGATGCCACTGTTGGTCATTGTGACGTAACTCAGAATTGAATTTTCGGCCTGGCCCACTCCACAATCCCCATTCAGGCCTTTTTCCTAGTGATAAACAGTTCAGGGCCAGCTCTGGCCATTTTGTGCTGCCATTTTTTTATTATTTTTAACTGTTTTATTATGAATTATGTGATTGTTTACATGGGAGGACATCAGTTCTACATTCATCCTATCGTATATCATTACATTGCCATGGTTACAATCCCCTTAATGCATCATCTACCAACCAAAGGGTACACCCCACAAGCCTGCTCCCTGGTCATCAGCACACAGCCCATCTCTCTCTCTGGGTCTAGAGTTCCCAGCTGCTCCATCTCTCCACGTCATCGACTCTGCCTCCATCTCTGGTGTCACTGTTTCTCTGGGTAGCACCCCACACTCCGCTCTTTTCCCTTGATGGTCCCAGGGGTCTCTGTTCCTGGCCTGCAAAGTCAACCACTTCCTTCCTTTTGCTACAAAATGTCTACCTTTACATTTGCAACAGTCGCAATCAGTCCTGATATTAATTATTCACTATTGTACCACATGAGTGCTATCCCCATCTCCTTTCATCAGTCCCACCCAAACAGATTGGTTACTACTCAGAGGAGATTCTACCTTTCTCTGCGCCCTCTGGATCTAGGCTCCCTCTTGAAAGCTTGTAAGCCAGTCACTTGTTGCCTTTGTAGCCCCCCACCCCATTTTGGGTAGCCAATGTCCAAGTTGCCCATCCCTGTCTACCCTGTGTATTGAGGGGGTGGAAAAGATCCTTGCTGTAAAAATTTGTTTCCTCTTTTGAGCTACTGCATCCATAGGTGTAGGTTACGTTCATCAAATTATATCAGATTACTCTTTTTTCATCTTTCTAGTTACTCTTCTTTCTTCTTCTAGTTGAGTTCTGATCATTTAGCCATTGAAGCCAGGTCAAGTGGGTATTATCTGCAAGTGTGTGTTCTTGTGCATATGCCCTCTCTTCTTATCAGCTGGATGCTTCGTTCTCCACTCTAGTCCTCTATGGCTATGTCACTGACTCTGGGCCCAGGAGTCCCAGGTCTTGCCAAAATGTTGGCCAACCAGGTCTCCACCCACTGTTTGGTTTTAAATGGAAACTGTTACTTGAAATTTCGTGGAGATCTGTGCACATGCATAGTAGAACCCTCTGGGGGTGGGGGTGGGGTGTCCACTCACTCAGACATCCCTTCTATTCACCAGAATGGAGGTGCGCAGACCACGAGAGACTAATGAACAGATACCAAAAAAAGAATGTCCACACCTTTATCTCCACAGTTCTTTCAGTATCTGTGACTGCTCTGATCCTTCCCCCGCTTTGTCTCACCCAAGATGGCAGCTCTGGGAGCAGCTGAGCATTTTGAATAAGAACACAATGGATTTCTTGCTTCTGCTACAAATTCGCCTAGCTGTAAGCCTTCCAACTTTCTAAATATTCCTTTATATGTGGTTCAGAGTTCTGACACCATCCCCAGAGCCTGCTCGGTCCAGTATTCTGTGTTGCTGCTAATGGAGCTCCTCACTGCACGTCCACCCGATCCGCCATCTTGTTTTGGGATACAGATGTTTTAAGTCAAATATTTAATAATTGGCTTATACAAAATCCAAATGTTTTCAGCTAGCGTGACAAAGAAACCATTCTTTTAATCAACATCACTATGGATACCATTTGTCAGTATTGTTGTTAAGTGCCATTTTGGTTCCAACTCAAAGAGACCCTGTATAGGGTTTCTGAGGAGTGTTTGGTGCATTTGAACCACTGATCTTGTGGTTCACACTGACTTTGCGGTCGATTGCTTATCCTATAGTGCCACATATTATTCCAATAGGCAAGACACAGGATAGGTGAAAAAATACTACACACAGAATTTTGTAACTATGTAAACATGAACCATTATTGAATATAGAATTAATTATAAACATTCTCTAAGCTATGAAACATCAAGTTTTTCTCTGCATTTCATAGATCTGTTAAATTTCAAGTGATTTTTTGTCTTTTCCTTTTTTGATGTGGATTTGTGAAAGGCATCCGAAATCTTTCCCCAGATCTTCAGGGAGGCACTACTAGTTTGGCTTAGATTCTAACTCTGAAATGTCAACACAGTTCTCTGGGTAATTTCCTGTGGTTTGGGATCCTGAATTAAGACCAATTTTTAGTATCCTATTTTTCGGGATTTACTTACAAAAAGGATATTACCTTTGAGACTTTCTTAAACAGGTGCATTTTCCATGAGTAGAAAACATGTGAAAAATTGTAATTGCATGCTTTCTCCAAGGTTCCTGTGTTCTCTCAGAAATATGAACTCTTGCACAGAATCTGCTGGAGCTAGCTTCTTTTCAATGCAAGGGCTGATGCTTTCACACCAGTTCATAGATTGGGTGGAAGCTGCCATTTCTACCATTTCTATTTTGATCAAACAGAATGACGTGTGGGTGTGTGATGTGGGGGTTGGTGTGTAACTCCTTGCCTTCCCTTATACACGGAATCAATGTGGAGTTCCTGTACTTCCTCTTGGGTAGGAAGAAATCGTGGGCACTATGCAATCTGATTTTTTACTAATTACTTTTCCCATACAAATAATATTCTAAGTGTGGGGGCTGGGATAAAATCTCCCACTTTAAAATCAACTAAACATTTTTTTTCTTAAGAAGTAGCAAGGTCCTATCTACCTAATTAGAAACATTTGTTTAATAACATATTCACTTTGTCCAGGTTTCTAGAGTTCCATTCTCTAAAGAAGAGGTGAGTCTATCTAGTTATTGCTTTGCTAAGAGTTGAGAAGCATCCTAAGTGGGGAGGGGAGAACTCATCTGGGGATGCACCTCTGTGGTTGGAACAGCTGAGAGGGGCTTTCCTCCTACAAAGAAGGAAGCTTGACATTTGAACAACTGGTGCCCCTTTCGGTATCACTTAGGGGAGGGAGACCCCGAGCCTCCTCTTTTGTGTTGGGAACAGTGCCGCCTGGATCTTTGTTGTTGAGCTTGCCAAACAAGGGTGTTCTTAGCCTTAAAGTTTTATAAGGTGTCTGGGGAGGGGAAGAAAGGTGTTAATTTGATGGGATCCTTTAAGAAAACACAAACTCTCCCCTGGATTTCCTTTTTACCTGTTTTGTGTGGTGCTGTAGGATATGCACTTGACTGCTAACCACAAGGTCGGCGGTTCAAACCCACCAGTTGCTCCTGGGAAACCATATAGGTGGTCACTGAGTCAGAACAGACTCCACGGCAATTAACAACAACAATTAGAGTCCTTAAGACAGAGGTCTCAAACATTACTGCTTTCTACTTAAGGAGCTCTGATAGCTTAATGGTTACAAGTCAGGCTGCTAATCTGAAGGTCAGCAGTTCAAAACTATCAGCTGTTCCGTGGAAGAAAGATGAGGCTCTCTCTCTGCTCCCGTAAAGATTTACAGCTTCAGAAACACTGTACAGGGTCACCATGAATCAGAACTGACTCCACGGCACACCACCACCACCACCACTTTGGACTAATCTTCCCTTTGGTTTCCTGAAGGAGTGGAGAGCAGGTAAGAAAGAACAAATGCTATAGATAAAAGAGAAATAAATAACTGACCCCATATCAAGTGGTTGAGCTTCTCCCCGAACACATAGATACCGATGCTAAGGCAGTAGCTGAGAGAGAAGAAGGCAGCTCTACCCGCTGGGCTGAGGTTGGCAAACACAGGATACACCCATGTTCCAGTGTTGTTGTAGATCCATAGGACCCTGCACAAAAGGACAAAGTCACAACAATTAGGACAGCAGGAAAGAAACCATTTTCTCATCAACCTAAATGGAGTCTGGATCCTCTATCGGTAATCCCTTACAACAGCTGAAATGTTTCCACAAAGTAACACAAGTGACTCTTTCTGATTTGATTCAGTAAGCCATTCTGTGTCTGGCAGCTTTGCTTAATCTATTGGAGTCAATGTCAGTGAAAGAATATGGAAGAATATCAAACACATCATTTCTCTGTTGTGAGACACTGAGCCTGCTAAAATGGCATTCATTTGCAGACCATTGGCTAGAGAAGTGTTTTGTTTTTGTTTGGTACCTCAGAGGCATGTGCAGCTTGCTATTTATTAGCTGTCCAAATCTGTTGGGGCAGGCAGGGCAGAGATCTGATATGACTGCCTTGATGCAAGATGCCTATAATCAAACAGGTTGCTCTGATTTTAACTAATTGGTGTGTGTTAAGGAGCCCTGATGGGGCTGTAGATGATGGACTGCTAATCTCAAGGTTGGCAGTTCCAATCTACCACCAGCTCTGTGGAAGAAGGGTGGGGTTGTCTTTGTCCGTAAATATTTATAGTATCAGAAACCCTACATAGGGTCACTATGAGTTGGAATCGACTCGATGGCAGTGGGAAGTGGAGGGGGTTAGTAGGAATGGATGGACTGACAGGCTCAATGAAGGTAAGAAATTCTAGGACAATTGCCACTATGTCTAAGTGAAGTCTAAAAATGCAGTTTGCTGGGAACCAACTGTACTGAATGATGCCAAAGTCTGAATTAACTTTTAAAAGTAAATATGGAGAGGATGATGTATCAGCTACAGTTTATAACTCGTTAAGAGTACAGAATCTAAAACCAAGCTGTCATGGTTCAAATCTGAGCTTTATTACCTATTAGCTGTGCTACCTTCAGCAACTAATTCACCCTTTCTGTCCGTCTCACTGAAAGTGGGAATCCTAAAAGCACACACCTTGTAAGGTGGCCGCAAAGATTTAGACAGTTAACACATGGAAACTGTATAGAACAGGGTCTGAACACACAGTAACCATTTAATCAGGGTTCAAATGCTTCTACCCCCACAGTTGGAGACTTCTCAACCATCTTTCCTTAAGGCTACTTACCTCTTGAGACACTAAGGATCAGCTAGGAACAACAATTGAACTAGAGAAGTTACAACATAGGTTGACTTCCCACTCTATGTTCATTGGGTCTCTAGGACCCTCTATTCTAGGAGTCCTCAGGCTAACAGAGAAGTCACCATCTTGAATTTTGCTAGAAGGAAGAGTGACTTCAGGATGTCTTGTATTGTCATTTAAGTGCCTGTTGTTGTTGTTGCTAAGTGTCTTCGAGTCAGAGCCGACGCATAGCGACCCTGTACAGGGTTTCCGAGGGTGTAAATCCTTACGGGAGTAGAAAGCCTCATCTTTCTCCCGCGGAGCGGCTGGTAGTTTCAAACCACTGACCTTAAGGTTCGCAGCCCGATTCGTAACCACTACGCTACCAGAGCTCCTAGAACTTGTTAATAATTCCTTCTAACCTCAAGGTGGTTGAGAAGTGCAATTGTGTCATATATCTAGACTGGAAGAGGGGAGAGGCAAGGGAGAGATGGAAATATCTGGTGAGCATTCCTAATGACTACCACAACGCTCAACCTGATTTATATCCCCAAACCCTGTGCTGCTTGTTAATGGTGATCACTGAATCAGATAAATTCTAATGACTAACCTGGTCACAAGTTGCTTTTTTTCCTAATCCCTTACCTAAACCTTACTTTAAGACTCCTGATAACATCTAGCCATTTTCTTCATTGGCTGGAAAACCTTTGAACCCTTCTTCTTCAAATGTGGGGCCAAAAAATGAGTGCAGTTGAACACTCCAGATTATCAAAGGAGTTCAGATGAAAGAACGAAGCCTTGTATTTAATTAACCCTCTCAAATGCAATCTCGGTTGTTTCAAATACTTTAATTTTTGTTTGTCAGATATTATGCTGGGGAGACAAGAGCTATTATCTAGGGTCAGGACTAAGAGGAGGCACCTAGGGTGCAACATTTAAAGCGGCATCAAAGTTGTTTGAACTGCAAGGTTGGCAGTTCAAGCTCACCAGTTGCTCCTTGGAAACCCTACACAGGGTTGCTATGTGTCAGAATCGACTTGAAGGCACTTAACAACAACAACAACAACGGTTCCTATGCAGAGTCCTGGTGTGGTGCCACAGGATAGTGCACTGGACCACAAGCTTGGCTTGAGCTGCAAGGTCAGCATTTCAAACTCACCAGCTGCTGTTTGGAAACCCTTTACAGTGTTGCTATGAGCAAGAACTGAATTGTGGCACTATAGGATACACACTGCACAGCTATCTGCAAGATCAGTGGTTCAAACCCACCATCCGCTCCTCAGAAACCCTACACAGGGTTGCTGTGAGTTGGAAATGACTCTACAGCACTTAACAATAACAATAAAACAGTTCCTATGTGACGTAGTGAGTTCTGGTGTGGCATGGTGGGATAAGCATTTGGCCATAAGGCCTGTTTGAATTGCAGGATTAGCTGTTCAAACTCACCAGCCACTCCTCAGAAACCCTACACAGGGTCACTACGGGTTGGAACAGACTCAACAGCACTTAACAACAACAAATGTGACATAATGGATTATGCATTGGGCTGTTAATCACAAGAGTAGCAATTGGAACCCACCTACCAGTATGCAGGAGAAAGATGAGGCTTTCTATTCCTATAAACATTTTCAGCCTCAGAGTTGCTATGAGTTAGAACCAACTAGATGGCCCACAACAGTTCCTATGTACATTTATATGACAGTTTACAAATAAGGAGTCCTGATGTGGTGCTTTATGATAAGCACTGGCCCATAAGGTCAGTTTGAACCACAAGGACAATGGTTCAAACTCACCAGCCACACTTCAGAAACCCTGTATAGGGTCTCTAGGAGTCGGAACCAACTGGACAGCACACGGCAGCAAAAGCAACAGATGAGGGTGTTCCCTAGAGGACTGGGAAACTCCTTTTTCTTTTTTTTAAAGTTTTTTTGTGAATTGAGTGAAAGTTTACAGGGCAGATATCAGTTTTTTATTTAACAAATAATATTATTTGTTTCATTACAATGGTTATAATTCCCTCCACGTACCATCAGTTAACAGTATTTCTCTCTATTCATTTTAGTTCTTTTTTTTAAAACACTCAGGCATATATAATAATTTACACCACCAAACAGCACATTCTGCAAGTCTGCCTCCTGGCCTAAAGCTCTCAGTCCTTCTCTTCCCATGAATCTAGAGTCCTCAGCTGCTCCCTCTCTCCATGTCCCCATGTCTGCCTCCATCTCTAGTGTCATTGCTTCTCTGGATAGGGTCCCGCATTCCGCTTGTGCTCCTCTTCCTATGATAGTCCTAGGGTCCTTTGTTTCTGGACGGTAAGGCTAACTACTCCCTCATTTTTGTTACATAACTTCTACCTTTACAATTGTGACAGTCACAATTAGTCATGATAACAATTACTCACTAATGAATCATTAGAATCTTAGAATCTTATCCCCATCTCTTTTTACCAGACACATCCAGACAAAGTGAAAACTATTCAGTGGGGACTCTATCTTCCCTCACACACTTTTTTTTTTTTGGAGTGTGTATATATACGTGTTGTTCTTATGTGCCGTGGAGTCGGTGCCAACTCATAGCGACTCCGTACAGGATTTCTGAGGCTGTAAATCTTTATAGGAGCAGAAAGCCTCCTCTTTCTCCCGCAGAATAGCTGGTAGCTTTGAACTGATCACTGTGAGATTTGCAGCCCAATTCGTAACCACTACACTACCAGAGCTCCATATATATATTTAAAGTGTATTTTTAAGTTTTTATTGTGAATTGAGTGATAGTTTACATGGGAGAACATCAGCTTTATATTCATCCTATCTTATTTCATTTCATTGCAATGACTACAATTCCTTCCATGCATCATTTGTTATTGTTGTTTTTTATGTACACCAAAGCACTCAGGAATATATAACCATTCAAACACCCAAAGAGCATACCCTGTAAACCTGCCCCCCATACACCAGCATACAGGCCCTCTCCCTCCCTAAGTCCAGAGTCCCCCACCACTCCATTGCTCCACATTGCTCCACATCATCATCTCTGCCTCTATCTCTGACATCTCTGCTTCTCTGGATAGGGCCCCGCATTCAGTTCTTCTGCCTTGAAAGTCCCAGAGCCCTCTGCTCCTGTACTGCAAGATCAAGCACTCCACTTCTTTTGTTACAAAACATCTACCTTTACATTTGCAACAATCGCAATCAGTCCTGATAACAATTGTTCACTATTGAACCACAAGAGTCTTGTCCCCATCTCCTTTTACTAGTCCTGTCTAGACAGGTTGGAAACCACTCAGTGGAGATCAGCATAAGATTCTTAAAGTACAATTCCTGAGGTAAATTAATGAGTTCTGTATTCTCACAGGGAAAGTACAATTACAGCTATAGTGTGTTAACTGACAGGAGTTTTTAGGTCCTATGGAGTTGGTTCAGACCCAGAGTAACCCGATGTACAACAGAATGAAATACTGCAGTCTTGAGCCATCCTCAACACTGGTCTGACAAAATTCTATCATGTGATCTCCAGCATCGTTTCTATCACCAAGGCCATCTTTTCCAACTATTGGTCTTTCCTCTGTTTCCAACTTCCTAGTCTGTCTTAGTCTTGAAGCGCCACTGAAATCTGTCCACCATGGATAACCCTGCTAGTATTTAAATACTGTTGGCATAGCCTACAGCAACACACAAGCCACCATCATACTGACAGACAAATGGTAGAACTGACAATAAGAAAAGTCATGAAAATGCAAATAGGCAAAGTTACAGCAATTTAATAAAGGGTAGGCAGCAGAAGGGCAGGGAGAGGGAAAAGTGGCACCGGCAGTTGGTCCTACTTCTTTAAAGCACGTGTGAATAAATGTTAAACAGAGAAAGGAAGGAAGAGTGGAAG